TCATAAGACTGCTTTCATTGTGTCCCATAGATTCTGATTTCTTGTATTGTCATTGTTATTTCATTATAAAAACTGTCTGATTTCTTCTTTAATTTCCTCTGTTACCCTTTGGTTATTCAGGAGTGTGTTGCTCAATTTCCATGAGTTTATGAAATTCTTGCAGTTTTTTTTTTTTTTGGCTATTGATCTCCAATTTAATCACATTATGGTGTGATAATATACAGGAGATCTCTTCAATTCATTTGCACTTACTTAGACATGTTCTATGAACAAATATGTGTTCTATTTTGGAGAACAACGCATGTTCAACTGAAAAGAATGTGTATTCTAATTTTGTGGAGTGGAACACTCTGTAAACATCTGTTAAGTTCATTTGTTAAGAGTTTGAGTTCTAGCATTTTGTTGTTTATTTTTTGTTTAATTGAACTATTTGTGAAAGTTGTGCATTGAGGTCCCCCACTACTATTGTATTAGTGCTTACTTGTTTTTTCATGTTTGTTAGTGTTCCTTTTGGGCTCACTAGGGTTTAGTGCATATATATTTATGATTGTCTTTTCCTCTTGGATTGTTTCCTTTACAAGAATGCAGTGTCCTTCTTTGTCTCTTTTAATCACTGTTGGTTTGAAATCCACTTGATCTACAAAGAGGATAGCTACTCGTGCTCTTTTCTCCTGTCTAATGGAGTGTTGTTTTCCACCTTTTAACTTTTTATGAGTTTCTTTTTGAATTAAGTGTATTTCTTATATGCAGCATATTGTTGGATCTTGCTTCTTGACCCATTCTGCCAGTCTGTTTCTTCTGATTGGTGAATTGAGACCGTTAACATTGATGGCTATAACTGATATATATTGACTTATTCTTGTCGTGACTTTTCTTTTCATTGGATTCTCCCCCTTTGCATTTAATTTTTTGTTGTGCATGATGGATTCATTCTGCTGGGCTTCCTGGGGTTGGGATCCTCATTGTCTTTTCCTAGTATATTCTTTCGAATTTTTTTGGATTGTTACTTTGGTATTCATGAAGTTCCTAAAGTGTTCTTTGTCATGAAAATTTCTTATTTCTCCATCTGTTTTGTTTTTATTTTGCAGGGTGTATTTTTGCTTTTAAATTTTTCTCTGAAATTCTTTTATTGACAATTTTAGGTATATAATACATTACATTCATCATTGGGAACTTGTACCTTTACATGATGTATCCTGATACTTATTTTTTCCTCATTCCCCTGCCCTCCCTTCAATCCCTCCACCCCACCCCATTTTCCAAAGCTTTGTTTCCATTTATTTTTGTCTCATGTTTTTTCCTTTCAATTATGAAAGATAGTTTTGCAGGGCACATCAATCTGAGTTGGAGGCTGCTTTTCTTTAGGGCTTGAGATACATCACTACAAGCTCTTCTTGCTTTGAGGGTTTGTGTTGAGAAGTCTGCTGTGATTATGATGGTCTTCTTTTGTATATGATTTGTTTCTTTTCTCTCACTACTTGTAGAATTTTGTTCTTCTGTTGAGTTTCTGGAATCTTAGCTATCATTAACTAGGTGTAGATATTTTTATTTTAATCACAGCTAGTTGGAGTCCTAAATGCCTCACATATATCTCTGTATGTCAAGTTCTTTTCCCCTACTTGGGTTATTTTCTGCCATTATGTTTGTGAACAGGTTTTTTTTTCTTGTTATCTGCACTCTCTCCTGTTTCTTCATTGACACTGATTAGTCTTATGTTATTCTTCTTTGCATCTTCTAGCTGCTGCTGGATTGATTTCTCATGATCCCCAAGAAATTTTTCTTTTCCTGGTCACTAATTGCAATCCTATCTTCTATATCTGAAATTCTGTCCTCTTAATGGCTCATTCTGCTGCATAAACTTTCAGTGGCATTTTTGATCTGTTTACATCTATTTTATGGCTTCCATTTGTTTCCTATATCACGATTCCATCACGTTTCTCAGCTCCCCTATTTTTTAAATCTGTGTCTGCTCTAGATTTATTAATCATGTCTTGCACTATGGGCACAATCTCTGCTGTTAATGATTCCATCATGTTTCTCAGCTCCCCTATTTTTTTAAATCTGTGTCTGCTCTAGATTTATTAATCGTGTCTTGCACTATGGGCACAATCTCTGCTGTTATCTGAGAAATTATTTCTGATTTCAGTTTGTCTAGATCATCTTTCATCGCCAGTTTCAGGGATTCCGGGTGGTTTAGTATCAGATTGTCCCATCTCATTTCCCTTTGGCTTTGCCTTAGGTGGTCTGAACATCTGGTTTTGAGACTTTTTAAAAGTCTTCTCATTTCAGCAGATGCAGTCTGCTGTGTCTTTGTTGAGACAACTTTTTGCTCACCCAGTGGGCCCTGGCTGAAATATGCCTGCAGCTGCACCACTCTGATCCACACAGCTGCTCCCCAAGATCTGACAAGTTTCCCTACTTACTGAAATTATTTAGAATTCTCATACTCTGTCCAATGTACACCCATTGTACTTCATCATCACAGCAATATCCCAAAACTATACAATGTGTACAAATACTTACATCTCCTTGGGAATTGATACTGTCTCCAGTTGAGAATCAGTAGTGCCTAGTGCTATCCAGTATTAACAAAAGACACAAATAAGAGCCTTGCATGTAATTTTTAACTTTTTAGTACTGCATTAGGAAAATGAAAAGGACAGTTGAAATTAATTTTAATAGTATAGCTTATTTAACCAGACATATAAAATATTGTCATTTCAACATGTAATCAATACAAAATTAATTATTAAATAGGTTACTATTGGTGCTGCACTTTCAAAATCTGACAGTACATATTTGGACTAGCCACATTACACATGCTCAGGAGTGCCTAGTGAGCCGACTGACAGCTGGTAAGAAAGTGACAAACTCTCACTGTATTTAGAAATGGCACAGAGTAAAAGAATCCCTAAATTAATTTAGCTGAGGTCATTTTCTGCAGTTGGTTGGATGGATATGTAGAAAGATGAACCTAAGATACATTGGGCAGTTGAGTCAGTTCTAGGGAGAAATGTCTTTCTCACCCATAAATGTGTTGCCTGGGCCAAAAAGCTACACTTCCTGTAAGTTTTGCCACTGCTTGAGAACCCTGTCTTGTGTGTGATTGGTCTCGAACATCATTTTTGATTTAGCATTTTCAAACAAGACATAACCCCAATTATGTATTAACTCCTTTCACAACAAAGCAATTGGATTTCAGAGTAGTCAGTATTTCTTAAATCTTCATGTTTTTATTCTTAATAGTTTTATCATAAGAAATTTATAATATTTAATTTTATTCACAAAATATTCCTAGAGCTTTCATTGTTTCATCTGGAGCTTTCAGTTTCGAATTTTTTTTCCATTTAAATGTTTTGTTCTTAAAAATAAATAAATTGCAATTTAAATTTTCTTTATTGGCTTAGAAAATAAAAAACAGTTAGTGCTACCACCTGGTGAAGTGCTTCATCATTTATTGAATCAGAAACCATATGGACTGATTGAGAATTTTGTAACTTTTAAGTGAATCATTCAATTCCTTTTCAAGAGAATATTTTTATTGTTACTTCCAGATGAATGATAACTTATGGATGTATGATTAGGCAAAGTACAGAGGAGAAAAATGAAATGAGAAAACCTTTTACTTATTATGCATAATATAAAATTTCACATTTAAATGTTTTCCCCAAAAGTATTTTAGTCAGTGGATGGCTTTCCTGATAATAGCAACAGTGAAAATCTTTCATAATAAAAAGTTCACTATTAATTGCACACATATATAATGAATAAAATTTGATCCTCCAAATTCATATCCCTGAATTAAATCCTGACAGCAATCAATCAAAGGGAAATTTCTTTTAATTATTTAGTTTAGTAACAGAATTACCAGCAGTGAAATTAACTTACTTATATCAAGATTACCAAACTGATGATATCCTATATTACAAATTATTTGCAAAAATAAATTAGGAAAAACGGTAGCGACAAAATTCGCTATTTCATTCTGGTAAAGAAAAACTATAACTTGGTCAAGTCTTGCAGATTTTGAGTAGAATGTGTCTAGTACAGTGAGAGTGAAAGTTCTCTGCAGTAGAACTGTAGACATCTACTGATATATACATTAGTGAATTTCACTTCATTCACTTAGTTCCCTTCATTTAGTTTAACCTTATTTTTTCCTGTATATTGAATACTGAAGAGGAAGTAACTCAGTATTAAGACCTCTCTTTTTAGTAACAGTAGATAATCTATTAATCAATTATACTTTTAGTAGTCTGTAATGAAATAAGCATAAAACAAGGAGTTCTATGAGGCACATAAAATGCTTCTTTTTCATTATATGGCTAAGTGAATATATTATATATTCTGAAGCAATAATACCAAAATTAATTCAAATAATTTGTGACCTATTAGGTAAAAGCTATTCTTAAGAAACCCTTCCCAGAACATATGAAATTCTTGGATTGAGTTTTCTGGAGAAGAAACTAAGAGTTAACCAGCTGAACAGAACAAAGTTCCAGTAGCAGGACATGGAGAACATTTAGAAGTCAGCAAATGTGTCTCCAGTCTCTCGTCTTGGAACTGTAAACATACACCAAGTTTCTATTCAATGGGTTACCATTCATCTCATTGTATAGAAGATATGGCAAATATTTTACATGTTTAATAAGTAAACAAATCTCGTACATCATAGAATTATTCACTTCTATTTTGCATAAGAAAAGTAGAAAAATTGACCTTGAACCTTGGGTACTGTATGTTTAAGCATTTTGTCAGTATACAAGGGATATTTGTTATTATTCACATTAATTATTAAACAACTGGATGAAACATCAAAAGCTATTTGTTTATTTTTCATTTCTTAGTATTTATGTAAACATGTCATGTATGCTGTGTATGTAAATATTAACAATCCAAAAAATGTAGTACTAAACACTTGCTCAGATAACATTTTAAGGATTTATTTTCGGCATTGAAACGATGTATGTATCTAAATCTGAATGGTTATTTCTTCACAGGAGGCTTTATGGAAACGGAAGCCGCAGCTCAGGAATCTCTGGGATTAGGCAAACTTGGAACACAAGCTGAAAAGGATAGAAGACTTAAGAAAAAGTAAGTTTGGAGACCTTTTTCCTCCTCTTTCTGACTTTTATTTCTTCCTAATCATTGTTTGCAGAGAATTAAAAAGAGAATAATCAAAATCAAAACAATTAAAACTAAGCCAGTACTTTCCTGGTATTACAGAAAACAATTCTGTGCTCATGTTTCCTGCTGATAATGAGCTACAAGTTAAAATGAGTATAAAATTTTTCAGTTTGCACTAGAATAAAAAGTTTATTCTAAATTACCAAAGTGTTTATTTCAAAACTCAAGTATATTTTAAATACTTTCATCTTAAAAGTATGTAATACTCTCCTTGATGTTAAATTCAGTACTTGTACGATTAGAATACACATCTATCCAACTTTGTACTTCACCTTATGAGAATTATGTGTATCTATTCCTTATAATGGAGTATTTGCAAGAGAAACATTTCTCTGACTAAAAATAAACTTATTTTAGGCTCAAAGCAGATTGTTTTGCATCTGTCAGGAAACCAATAGTGTATCTTTTCATTCATATATAATATGGAACATTTAAAGCACTTGCAAAATTGGCAAATGGACTCAGCAGCTGTTGGAAAGCAAGGGAGTTCATAAATAACATATTTTAAGATACATAGTGCCATTTTTTTCACTGACAAAATAGCACCCTTAGAACCTGTTCTTTAAAAGCAAAAGGAAGCAATTTCTGTATTCCAGAATCTATTGGTTAATTACTTCTTTTCTTCTCTCCCAGATATTTATTAGACTGTATTACAGTTCTTATATTTCCTTCTTTTGTAAGATATGTTCCTATGTTTATAGTACATAGATGAATCAATTTATTTCATATTTTATCCTCTCACTTGCTGTGCTGATATTTACTAATAAGAGGAATTATATACTTATAAGTTGCAGAATGGCAGCTTTTTAATCATTATTTATTATTATTTTACTACTTAATAAAATTAGACCTATTCTCTGATTCTATAGAAATGCTTGGAAAAGATGACATTGAAAACTTGTTTCTTGAGTATAATTAAGTGTTCAGTCATATTCAATAATAAATATATTTTCTTTAGTTACTAATCACTAAAATATATTTAAATATTATTATAATCTGTTTTGAATATTTATTTATTTTTATTTATATTAAGGCATGTTGTGTTTGTGTGGCTCTTTATGGAGAAAACAATTATTTTATAAAATGTTCATTATTTGTAAAGTTTTAAATAGTTTTTGATTGTTTTACTTGAGATCTAAAGGAATATGAAAATTTAAAACTCAGACTGGCTGGTGGACTTGGTACATTT